GCGCTCCAGCCACCTCACCACAGTGACTACCACCCCCACTGCGCCACCACTACACCGTGCACACCCACTCACCGTGCAGCGAGACCGGCGCTCCAGCCACCTCACAACAGTGACTACCACCCCACTGCACCCCCACTACACCGTGCACCACCACTCACCGTGCAGCGAGACCGGCGCTCCAGCCACCTCACCACAGTGACTACCCACCCCACTGCGCCACCACTACACCGTGCACACCGCTCACCGTGCAGCGAGACCGGCGCTCCAGCCACCTCACCACAGTGACTACCACCCCACTGCGCCACCACTACACCGTGCACACCACTCACCGTGCAGCGAGACCGGCGCTCCAGCCACCTCACCACGTGACTACCACCCCACTGCACCACCACTACACCGTGCACACCACTCACCGTGCAGCGAGACCGGCGCTCCAGCCACCTCACCACAGTGACTACCACCCCACTGCGCCACCACTACACCGTGCACACCGCTCACCGTGCAGCGAGACCGGCGCTCCAGCCACCTCACCACAGTGACGGCGGTGTGATTCGGTCCGTCTGCCTGGCCATGCCGTGATCTAGCCATGATGTGAACGAGCGTGCCCTAAGATGACAGTGCTGCATGTTCGGGCCGACATACATGAGCACTATAGCTTCTACACATACCGATCTTCTGGAATTAAACCTTTGTTGGCGCGGAATCCCAGTGAGCGAGCGTTAATCCTACTTTTAATTCATCCTGAGGCCGAATTTCACTAGGATGGAAGAACTGCCACTCAAACGTCTTCTGGGCTCGTTCTGTAAGCCCGGCAATTAAAACGAGCCTTACGCTTAGAACGGCTGTCATTTTATATGAAAGTGGAAATTTTATCAGCTCTAAATGCTCTACTTGCATTAAAATATAAATAGTTTCATCAGAAGCAACTTTCATGGTTTTCGAACATGATCCAAGGTACTTGGACTTTAGCCAACTGGTTGATCTACCAGCGCAGGCATGTGGTCCCTCCATATGCTGAATTATTTTAAAATCTCCAACACATCCTGTGCTTTTTGTCCGCTCAATGAAACTGAAGCGCTAAATCCCCACTTACACAGATCACAAGGTCGACAGAAACTCAACCCATACTGATGCAGGCCGGCTTATGTGTACCACACTGGGCCGTTTCTACCAGCACTGGCGCAATTCCGCTGCCATATCCACATACTCGAGCTCGCTTTTCGACGGTGCGAGCGCTCGAGGCGTGACTGTCGGCTCTCGTCGCCCGCAGCCGGCGCTGAACCCGTGCTGCTAACCCATCCGTCTCAAATGCTGATTCGGCGATACCGGTCGGCAGCGGGTCCGATCGCGCCGTTTCGTTGCGAGTTTGACAAATGGCGGCCGGCCTGCTCTGCTGAGGAGTCGGTCAGCTCGTCCATGGATCAGCTATTCGACCGTACGCGGCCCGGCTGGCCTGCGTCGCTGCCGGCTGTCAGGCGGGCTGGGCGGAGCAGTGGTGACCGCCGATGACGGAGGCACCGCGTGGGCCTGACAGTCTCAGGAGTGGGTCGTGCGGCGGGCTGTCGGAAATGGGGCGACACCTGGGTCTCGTTCCTTATTCCCAAGCGCCGTCTACAAGCTGCAGCCTATGAAGTCATAGCTAACTGCGTCATTATAGTTATTACGCCTTTGATTAGAGTCGTTTGTGTGTGAGGTCAGAGGCAAAAGCCTCAGGCCGGTTCTTTGCCAATGTAGAACTGAGCGCTGATAGCCGACCCGCGACTGCGCACCAGACCAGAGCAGACAACGCATACTGGGCAGTATTCCGACTTGGTGGCCGAGAGGAAGATGCATTGACGCAAATCAGGTACTTGATCTACTTAAGGGTCACTTCCAGCAAGTTCAGGTGTGAGACAGCACCGGAATCGTTTTGCTTTCGAAATCTATTTCAGATGGCGTTGGTGCTTGTCATGTCAGTTGTTATGGCTCGCTCAAGCACAGCGCATTCAGAAAGCTCCGAAATGATTTGCAGTAGGTGTCTTTGGTAACAGAAGCAAACGCTACCATGTTTTGACCGATTCGCTGTCGCGGTCACATGAGGCGGTTGGTGTGTTCGGACGTTTGTACCCTAAGAGCATGGGGATGAGCCTACTTTTCACCTTTCACCGGTTGATAGAGAATTGGTCGGGTTTATAGTTCCCCTGGTAACTACGGAAGTCCCGCTGCCGTATATATTCCAGCACAAATGAAAATTCCACCTCTAGTGAAAATGTGTTGTAAAGCTACCAGATGTGAAAAGTTTTCTTTTCTGTGCACGAAACTTCCGCATCACGCCGCTCGCACATATCAATAAATGCCACCGCGCACGCTCGATGCGCGTAGTGTCGTCTATCATGCTCGCATGCAATAGTCGAAAGACTGCAACAATCCTGGCACAGGGAACTGCATTGCAAATTATGAGTACGATGCAGACAGTTAGCGGACGTTAGTTAGGTGCGCATGCACTATGTGTACCCTAAAGTGACCAGTAACTCGAACGGTATGGTACGCGAACATCGCCAAGCCAGGCGAAGACGTGCAACAGACGATTTGTATGCGTGTTATTGCGTTAGGAGTGAGTAAAGCATCTTGAAGTGGTCTTTCAGCTAAATACTGTTTTATTTTGGCAAATTCCGCTTGGCTTTGCTACATTCTGTGCTGTACTGTCCTGTGGTTGGCTGCCTTCTGCTCTGTTGTCTCCGTCTTGGTCTGTTCTGCCACCTCTAGAACCTGTCGTGTGTGCCTAGAACCTGTCTTACACAACAGACTCCTTCTTAAGTCACTCAGCCCTTGACCCTCTTAGCCCTTAGCTCTCCTCTCAGCCCCGTCTTCCGGTCGCTTCCTGCCCTGTGCTGTCATCTGTCCGCCTACCTCGTGTCATTAACTCCTGCCCTGTCCCATCCTGCTGTCTCCTGCCCTGCGCTCTACTTCTTTGTGCATTTCCGTCCTGCCCCATCGGCTGATCTGTCCTGGCCTGTTCTGTACTGTTCTGCCGCCTCCTGCTCCCTTCTCCCCGGTCCTGCCCTCTGCCCTGTCACGCTATACCCGGTTGTAGCGGACCCTTTATTGAGGCTGGGGAGGACCCTTGTAGATTGCCCCTTTCGTGAGTGTACGGCCATGTTAATTGTTGCCCGGATTTGGCAGGGGGTGACCGACCCTGCCCTCCCCAAATCCACCGCCCCTGGTCATGTTATGCCAAGCCCCAGCCCCACCACTTGCCCTAGCGCCAACCACAGCCCCAGCCCCAGCCCCAGCCCCAGCCCCGCCTCTAGCCCCAGCCCCAGCCTCAGTACCAGTACCAGCACCAGTACCAGTACCAGTACCAGTCCCAGTCCCAGGCCCAGTCCCAGTCCCAGGCCCAGGCCCAGACCCAGTCGCAGGCCCAGGCCCAGACCCAGTCGCAGGCCCAGGCCCAGACCCAGTCGCAGGCCCAGGCCCAGCTGCAGTCCCAGCCGTACCCCAAGCCTAGAACTGTGATGCACTGCACCGTGATGAGCTTTGACAGTACGCAGATCAATCACTCCACTGAGCTTGAGGGCTATCATTCTAGTCTCAGAGGTTCTCCAACGGTTTTTACCATGCTTGCTCGAACGCAATTTTACTAAGCTTAGTTCCGTCTTTACACTGTTTGACCTGTGTCTAGTTGCGTTGGTCTACCTGTCTTTCGCCTTACACCCTTTTTTCTGGACAGCAGGCTATCTCGCTTCAAATGAGTCGCTTCAATGGGTCTTCAGCGAACGTTGAGGAATCGCGACATGAGCCTGGGAAGACTTTATTTTTTTAATTATTTATACTCATCGATGTAAAGTTATAGAAGCATGATTTGCGAGCTAAGATATCACGTCCTGGCAAAGTTCCACATCCGATAGTACATGTCTAATTATGTGTCATAGTCTCCTATACACATGTATTGTGTATATAACATGTCGTTCCATATTATTATGACTTGTACTACATGCGCCTGCCCCGATCTGCACCCGAACAATCAGTGTGGGAAAACAGCAAACGGCATATGTCAACCTATACAAAGAATTTTAGCGATTTATAATGAAGTTTGACATTTGACTTCCGATTTCACGTTGACTTTGCCCCGTGCATTACAAATCACTGCAGAAGTGGACTCTCTGTCACATCAAAATCGTTCAAACCGGTATCACACGACCCTGCAAATTATCGAGAAAAAAACGTTTTGAAATTGAACCAACAGCCAAGATAGCGGCGACCTCTATCTTTAATTCTGAGAAATTCTCAGGATGCGCAAGCAGCAAACAATCAAATTCGGATCGCCTAGCTACAAATAACATATTTACACGAACAAGATTTCAGGTAGTCGACATTGCAGGGTCTCGTATAGGGAGCATAAGGATGGCAACTTGACTACATAGCGGGCGACTGACAGCGTTACGTTGGCCGCTACGTCTGCCCAATGTTACGAGCTTAGAACCAACGCTACCGACTGACAATGGCTGTTTGAACACGTCATTGCTTACGAGTTGGTTGATAACTAAAATACCTTTTATTTTAAAGCTACGCCGTGTGTTAGGATGAATTAATGTTTATGCCGACTTAAATGTGTCCCGAATTGTGTGTATGGCCTGCCTTATCTACTTGTGCAACTCTTTCTCGTCCATTTACGTTGTCTTTTCGATCTGACAAGCAATTTACAATAGCTGTACGTGCACGGAAAACTTGTGCTTATTAATCAAAGCAGCGACAGCTTAACGCTGTAAAGATTGCAGACGTGTTTCGTTATTTGGGCATGACATCTATAAAGAGACCTTGACAGTAAAAACAAATCAACATTTGAACGCGGCGGGGGAACCGTTCCACCCAGTGATACCATCGCCAGCGAGTGTGCCCTGTTTGCGCCAGGGTGCGCACGTCAACCTGAAGCCCTCCCCACAACCACAAGCAGACACGCTATGTTTATGACGTCGCCGCCCACGGGTTGACGAGGCCGTCTCGCTTCGCGGCGCCGACAGGTGCGAACCGGATACGACACTGGGCTCACGCCGGCTCAGCGGCGGACGGTCCCGACCACGGCCTGCACAGCGTCACCGTCAACAGCACCATGACCAACGTGACGGCCCAGCTGGGCTCGTCCACCTTCTTGCACTGCAAGCAGCCGGTCACTCACAACGACCCACCCGAGGTATGGTGCCGCGTCGGCGGCGCGGGCGTCAGGCGGCGGCGGCGGACGGTCCAGTGGCGCCTGGTTCCGTGGTCGCCCTCCGAGCTGTCAGAGGTGCTCCTGTCTGGATCCACCTGTATTTGGCACTGCCTTTCCTTCTTTTCACCTTTGATGAAACATACATGCTGAATCACATTATATATATATATATATATATATATATATATATATATATATATATATATATGTATAACTATCTCTCTCCCCCCTCTCCCAGTCCCTCTCTCTCACTCTCTCTCTCTCTCTCCTCTACTCTCCTCTTCTCTCCTCTCATCTCTCTCCTCTCTCTCTTCCTCTCTTCTCCTCCTCTCTCTCTCTCTCTCTCTCTCCTCTCCTCTCTCTCTCTCCTCTCTCTCTCTCTCTCTCTCTCTCTCTCTCTCTCTCTCTCGCTCTCTCTCTCTCATCTCCATCCTCTCTCGCTCTCTCTCTCTCTCTCTCTCTCCGAGAGAGACTATCGTTCGCTTCTAAACACCACTATCCAGACACCGGCAGTTGTGCCCGCGCGAATCCCACGTCCCCAGCCGGCCTGCTGCTCATTTCTGGCGACACAATCCCACCGGGACCGATGTACGCCGCAGGCGGCGCGGGCCGCGGTGGTGTGCCACACGTGCCGCTGTGTAATCCAGCTGTCAGACTACCGGCCGTCCGCACTAATTCGACGCGGGCACGCCGTCTCCAGCTTCCGAGCCGAGCTGGACAAGTTCGCTCGCACATGGCCAGTTCCCGTTCCGAATGCAAGTTGCATGCTCCATTGTGAGAGCGTGCCCTGGCATATGACATGATGTTGGCCATGACCTTAGCGTTGCTTTACAATGCGCGGACCGCCTAGTCATAAGCATTGCGACCACAGAGGGACCGAGCCGAAGGAGTCATTAGGCACACCCTCCACCTTACCTCAAAAGGCGAGGTTTTGCCACCTCACCTAGGGGGCCCACTGGTGGGTACGTGAACGCTTGGTTGGAAGCAGGGGTTGCTTGGTAGGAAGCAACGGATGCTTGGTTGGAAGCAGTGGCTGCTTGGTTAGAAGCAGCAGCTGCTGGTCGGCTGGTGGTGGCTGGAAGCAGCGATTGCTCGGCTGGAAGCAGCGGCTGCTTGGTTAGAAGCAGCAGCTGCTGGTCGGCTGGTGGTGGCTGGAAGCAGCGATTGCTTGGTTGGAAGCAGCAGCTGCTGGTCGGCTGGTGGTGGCTGGAAGCAGCGATTGCTTGGTTGGAAGCAGCGGCTGCTGGTCGGCAGCTGGTGTGCCAACATTCCAGACGTACCCAGCACTCAAGTAATGGCCGAGGCCGGTCAGAGAGTTGTGCGTCACCAGACTGCGACAGACGTGGCGCCGGCCAGGCGGCGCCCGACACCTTGCTACCTAGACAGTCGACCTGCCGCCGACGGGCCGCGTCCAACTTCGCCGCCCGCCAACTTTCCGATCAGCCATGGTTAGCGAGCATCAGACGGCTAAGAAGTTTATTGGAGCCGGCATATTGATTTCGGCTCGACCGCTCCGCATATTGCCTGGGGGGGCCGGCCGGCGGTGGCCACCACACCGAGCCCGTGCACCAGCCGGCCGGCCACTCAGCCTCCGCCCCGACAGAGCCGCCGAAAAATGTAGCACAGAGCGTCTGGGTGATCGATGCTGGCTTTTCTGCCCGTTATCTCGTGTCATTTTCAGTTGCGTCTGGCTTAGACATCCATTAATTAAACGGTGCGCCCGGACTTGTCACGTGATCAACCGGCCCGGTGCAATTACTTAGCAGGTATGTGGCACGTAGCAATCTTGCGACGTGCTTATATGCTGTTAGCACTATACTATGAATAAACTGAAATGTATTCTGGCTGTCAAGGTCAGTTCAACGATTTTTGCCATCTCACGGATCTAGGAAGGTCCCAGAAAGGTCTCGCTTGAGTTTCGCTAGCTATTTGGACGTACAGAAAAACGTACGTGCTGTTAATGATTTCAGAGGAGAACATGCACTTAAAGCAGGAATATATACATATTGCAGGCCGAAGGAACACCAGAAGACGGGAGCAGTTAGCGTAAAGTGAATGTTGTGCCGTCTACAAAAGTGCAACACTAAGTGAAATGATTCACCATTCGATAAGGACAGTCTTATAACATCTTGCTGAATTGAACTCACAAAGTCCTTACTTAACCCTCTGGCGTAGTAAAATGCTGTAAGGATATATGTATCGTTTTAGACTGGCAGAAGCGGGAAAGAGCCGAAGCCTACGAAGGGTACGGCAGCATTTTAGCGGTGCGCCACAAGTACTTCATAGGGCTGGTGTGGTCGCCAAACTCTTGGGCTGGCTATTTGCTAATCGTCGGTCAGGAATGCCCACCTATGGCTCTCAACCTCTCACATGAGGGACGTGTTTTTGTTTTGCCATCGATTTCGAAGCCATATAATTATTAGTTTAGCTTATTCTAAACATGGTCACTGAAGTTAAGCTCGAAATGTCCGGGATCGGCGTAGTCCGGATCGCGGATCCGGGTAACATAGTTAACGGACCGAACAGCGACGTCGCCTTGACTGCACATCTCACCAGCATCGGTCACATGTGCATACATATGCGTGTTAATGTGGGAGTTGAGCACTCGTGGCCACCAGTGCTTATATATACATATATATATATATATATATATATATATTGAAATATTTAGGCAGAATCCTCCCTTTTATGCATGTTTGATCAAAAATAACTGCTGACCCAGCATTGACGAGCTTTTTGACGCATCGTTCTTCCGGGCTTTAGACTTGGCATCATCGCTTAGATTAAAGATGGTTCGCACAAAATTACTCATATATTCATCGTTACTAATATTCTAACCTTTCGAGACCCTATCTCATCGTCGGAGAAGACCAAATGGCACAAGAAATAAGTTTTGAGTTTTAAAGGATAAAAAATTGTGCACCTCTGTTGGAAAACATCTTTTGGCTTTTGGTACGGAAAACATAAATGAAGCATAACTCGTTGAACATAACAGGAACACTACAAAGACATAATGAGACACTTTTGCTACAATCACATCAGTAGCGCTCAGCACCCACTACCTAATAGTTCAAGAGTTGAGCAAGAATGTGTTTGTCTGTTTAGGGCCGGAGTGAGTTCATTAATGAGTATGGTTTCCCAAATTTGAAGGCGTCTTCTGTCATTGCACATCCGTAAAATGTCAGTGCTGGCTGTCAGTTGTTGTGTCAATGTCATGTCGTGTTCATGTCGCATGTGGTCCAGGGGTGCCCCGTCATGTAAGTGCATTGTCAGGTGTCGTGAAAGTGTCGTTGTGGTCACACCAATGTGGTACATGGAACGAAGTTTGCAGCCTTCGATGTTGCATTTGAATTGATACACTACATTGGTGCATTTTAGTTTGTCGGGTTTGTCTGGGCTGTTTCTCACAAGAAAGTTAGATATTCTTTCATTGCCATAATAGATGACGATGTCTGTTTTGTGGTCGTTTTAGCTTTTAACATGTCGAGAGATAACTTCCCGTAAAGCTTTTTGGTCTTGTCTGTGGACAGATGTTTGATTTTGATAATACAGTTTAACGGTTGGTTGGATGTCTTGTCTTGGTTTACTGTCAAAGTGTCTTGTCATATGTCGTTGTGTCTCGTTTTCAACGTCAGAATTTGAAAAACCGTCGTTCACCAAGATCTGTCTGATTCTGATCAATGCTGAATGTAGTCCTGTCCAACCAGAGCAGTGCTTAAATGCTCGTCTAATGAGGGACCTTATGACGCCAATTTTGTAGCGTCGAGGACACTCACTGTCAGCATTCAAGCACCGTCCGTTGTTATTTTGTTTTCGGTATACAGTCGTTTTGAACCGTTGTCCTTGTTCATTGTCAGAAACGTCAAGAAAGGGTATTACGTTTTGCACACTTATCTCTGTTGTGAATTTTAAACCAGACTGCTCTTCAAATGTGTTTTTGAGACATCCCAGTTGGTCAATGTCCCTAACTTCCACAAAGATATCGTCTACGTAGCGGCAGTAAATGTCCGGTTTTATGTCGTCATTTTGTAGTATGTCGGCTTCTACGTGTCGCATAAAGAAATTAGCGAATAGAGGTCCTAGAGGTGAGCCCATCGCAACACCCCCCGTTTGGCAATACATTCGGCCATCAGGCCCGCTGGAAGGAACTTCCAAAGTACAGGCTTTTAGTAATTGTTCAAGAAGGCGCCTTGATATTTTGAGAGGAGGAATTTCAGGATGATTGTAGACGCCGTCAAGGATGATGGATATGGTTCTTTCAATGGGCACGTTTGTAAATAGATTTTCAACATCTAGAGAGACTAGTAGATCCTTAGGTTGACGAGATCGCACTATATCAATAAACTCATCCGTTGACGACAAGCTGTAAGACATGGGAAGATATGGGGACAGAAAGCCATTAAGACGTTTTACAATTATATGGGTTGGTGAAGGGATCTGTGAAATTTTTGGACGAAGGGGTTGCCGTTTTTGTGAGTTTTACAGACCCATAAGCATAACCAAGCGCAAATTCACCCGTTATCTTGGAAGTGTATGCCATCAGCAGCGGCATTGGCGGCAGTGATTAGTTTGTTAGCTTGGTCTTGAGTTTGTCTGTTGGACCTTTTGTGATGCGCCTAAACTTCTTTTCGTCGTTCAAGATACAGTTTGGTTTCTCATGATATTCCTTTTTATCAAGTATTACGTAGAGTGATGATTTGTCCGCTCGCCGAATGATGATGTCGTCTTTTCTCGGAGTTCCTTTGTCGCCGTCCTGAGTTCTTGTGTGAATATCTTGTTCCTATCATTTCCGCGCTTTTCGTGCTCTCTCCCACTAAGCTGTTCCTTAGATCCTTGTCTACGGTGGCCTCGTCCTATTTTTCCAAACTCAAGACATCCTGGTAAATAATTTCTAGCTCTACTTTCTTCTTAAGTTTATTATGTTTCGACAACACATGGAAATGAAGTCCAAGATTAAGCACCCCTTTATGTTCCTCAGTAAGATCATGGTGAGATAAATTGATGTAACCATCGACAGTTTCCGGTAATGGTATATGTCCACCATGGAGCCTTGAGAGCTTTTTCACGATTCTGTTTCTAGTAAGACGTCTAGCATCACATTCAATCACGTCGAGTTCGTCAAGTACTTTTTGTTTTAGTTCATGTTTAGGGCAACATACCTGTAGCTTCTTCTTCTAGTGTATCTTTAATGTAGTGTATCAATTCAAATGCAACATCGAGGCTGCAAATTTCGTTCCATACACTACGTTGGTGTGACCACGACACTCTCACGACGCCTGACACTGCACTTACGTGACGGGGCACCTCTGGACTACATGCGACATGAACACATGACATTGGCACGACAACAACTGACAGCCAGCATCGACATTTTACGGACGTGCAATGACAGAAGACGCCTTCAAATTTGGGAAAGCATATGCATTAACGAACTCTCTCCGGCCCTAAACAGACCGACAAATTCTTGCACAACTCTTGAACTATTAGGTGGTGGGCGGTGAGCACTACTGATGCAATTGTGGCAATAGTGTTTCATTGTGTCTTTGTAGTGTTCCCATTATGAGTGTTTCTTATATGTATCAAAGTGAAAATAGGACTATGTCTTACTCAATGAGTTATGCTTCATTTATTTTCTCCGTACCAAAAGATGCTTTCCAACAGTAGTGCACAGTTCTTTATCCTTTAAAACTCAAAACTTATTTCTTGTGCCATTTAGTCTTCTCCGACGATGAGATAGGATCTCGAAACGCTAGAATAATATTTTATTAAATAATAAGTTTTAGGCGCGCGGAATATACGGGTAATTTTGTGCGAACCATCTATAATCTAAATGATAATGCCAAGTCCAAGGCCGGAAAATTAGAACGATGCGTCAAAAAGCTCGTCAATGTTGAGCCAGCAGTTATTTTTAATCAAACATGCATATATATATATATATATATATATATATATATATATATGCACTGACGGACACAAGTACTCAATTCCCACATAAGGCGTCATCTTTTCGAAACAAGCAGGGAGCCGAAACAAGGACGGACGCGTCATGACGCTGCGTGACGCTGCGAGGGCTTCTCACCACTGTTTAGCGGAGATACCTGGCGGGGTTTTTTCTTGAGGTCTGATCATCTGGGTGGCCGAACTTGTGCTTACGCAACAATTTGGATTCGCAGCCTCACTGAACGGACTGACATCCATGAGGCAATTAGTTCAGCCGAATTCAGTATGGTCAATATGCATTTTCAGGGGCAACTATTACTGCATTGGTGATGGGAGCGTAAGTTTAGAGATAACATATTTGATCAAGCTTTCGGGCGCCATAGGGACCCTACTTCCTGATTACATTGTACACGGGCGGGACTGCCACGAGCCCCAAGGGCTTACTGGATAATCTTACTTTGGGTGTGCCCTACCAAATCAAATTGGTTTCGGTAGCAATAGAAAAGAATGACCCGAGAGTTGAATGCGCGAAATGTTCGATATCGTCATCGAATGCTCTTCTTTCGCCTCCTTTTTGCCAATCGCCGTCTCGGCCCCCTTCGCCTTCTGTCCCTGATCCCTCGCTGGTCTGAGGCTTCTCTGACACCTGTGTCTTGACCTGACGGTTGACCTCTCTGCTCTGACCCGTCAGGTCTCGTGGCTGCGCCGCCGCGATTGGCATCTGCTCACCACGGGCAAGACAGTCTTCACCAGCGACGAGCGCTTCCAGATTCGCCACGCCCGGGCGGAAAATGACTGGGTGCTCAAGATCAGCTTCGCACAGCTGCGCGATCAGGGGCTGTACGAGTGTCAGGTAAGGGAGGCGGCGGGAGAAGCAGGGACTGTGCGAGTGCCAGGTAAGGGAGGCAGCGAGAGAAGCGGGGACTGTGCGAGTGTCAGGGAAGGGAGGCGGCGAGAGGAGCAGGGACTGTGCGAGTGTCAGGTGAGGGAGGCGGCGAGTGAAGCAGGGGCTGTGCGAGTGTCAGGGAGGGGAGGCGGCGGGAGAAGCTGGGGCTGTTCAAGTGCCAGGTGAGGGAGGCGGCGAGGGTAGCAGGGACTGTGCAAATGTCAGGTGAGGGAGACGGCGAGAGAAGCAGGGGCTGTTCGAGTGCCAGGTGAGGGAGACGGTAATAAAAGTAGGGCGTCCGGGGGTCATGCGAGGACGTAGTCTCTGCGATGGCAAGGTATAAACAAAAGAGATATCGGCGTGTTCCGTGTTAGGTGGGAGCTTTGCGAGAGCGATCATGGCATTTTACACAATTTTCTGAGCAACAATAATTGCAGACCATGCTTACTGAACTTGTTCTGAAAATGCAAGTTAGCTGCAATTGTGCTCTCCAGAAGTGTTTCGATGGATGTCTGCCGTTCCAGCGCAGTGAGTGCTTTCCACACTGATTGAATCAAAATGGTCTGACCCGTCCACTCATCTTCCGCGCGTGGTAACAAAGGAACACGGAATTATTCGCATTTAATGTGTGTACATGGTAATCGGCTGCATTCGGCCACCCACGGCAGGGGTTCCCCGGATAAGCGGAAAACACGGGCGCCTTCGGTGGGCTTCGAACCCACGGCGACTGCGACTCTCCACTCAGGAGTTTGGTGCGGGATCCAGTTGAGCAGTTTCCTGCATTTGCAATATCTCATTGCGAATTCCAGCTGGCCTAGTTCTAGCAGGGTGTGATTACACTACTGGAAAACAGCGCGGCCCCGTCCCCCATAAGTTCTGCTGCCTTGTAGAAGGCAGCTTGTGTGCTGCAAATAAACCTAATTTTGTGAGCGAACCAGCATTGCAATACATCTATGAAACCACGTGAATGTCGACGAAACAAAGAAAATCCTTCACGTTCCCGGGCTTATGAAGCAAACGATTTCCACCCTTCACACGGGTCACGGCTTGGCGAAGCACGGCTGGTCGATCGCTGTGGGGGGCGGAGCGTGGCTAACGTCGCACCGCGGGATAAGATTACCTGGTGCGTGTTAGAAACTCAGCACGCATTCCGCCGCGGCCGCGTGATTCGACGGGGCTGACCACGTGACACGGCTGCTGGCCATTGGAAGCCAGCGGCGTCCCCGAGGCTCAAGCCGCCCCAGCTGTGAAGCAGGCCGCGCCGTGTGGCATCTGCCGTGACCTCGGCTGGCGCCCGTCTCTGATAATGATGAATAAACAGGTCGATGCGCCGTGAAATCGCGACCTTGTGTACATTTCGAATGACAGGGGAATCGATGCGTCTTCCCGTGCGTGCGAGCCCACTCCTGTGCGTGCGAGCAAGTGTTTGGCGTCTGCTTTAAGCTGGTGCGCGTGTCTGGGCATCGTTGACCGTTCCAATAGTCGTCTGAGCCATTGACCCCTGCCGTGGCTGCGACATTGACCGTGATCTTAGCCACGCTGGTAACTTGGAGGTGCCCATAACTATAAGCATGATCGTGACTGTTGGTGACTTTGACCTTGACCTTGACCGTGACTGTGGCTGCAAACGCAAGCGTGACCAAAGCGCAAGCTGAACCGTGACCGCGACCGCAACCGCGACCGTCACCGTGATTGTGACCGTGACCGTGACTGTGGCCTTGACCGTGACCGTGCTTCCTCACGAGATCCCTGCTTCGGCGGCGTCGTGGCTGTGATCGAGCTTCTGAAGCTTCTGTGATCGAGCTTCTGAAGCTGTGATCGAGCTTCCGCTGCGGCCGTGACAGCGACCACCTGGCCTCCGTCAGATATCCACCGACACGGGCAAGAGATCATACTTCGTCAACCTGCACGTACAGGAGCCGGTGGCCACGATCGAGGGCACAGGCCTGTTCCACGTGGAGCGCGGCTCAACCATCAGTCTCGTCTGCGTCATCAGAAAGGCACGTGCCGCCGCCGGCCAGTCGTTCGTCGCTGACGCTTCGCTGAATCACGGGGCCGGCGCATCGGGCCCCGCGGGGGGAGGCCCATGGGTCTCAGGGGTTCTCGGGCCCACGGCTCGGAAGCCCCGTGGGTGCCATGGCCTCGGTGACGGGCCGCGCAGTGACGGGAGCGATGGCCGCATACCTGTCACCGTTTGTCCCCCGCCCCTGGCGTCGCCAGGTGGCGTTAGCGGGGTTATGAAGTCGACGGTGTTGCTCGGTAACAGCGTGTGACGTTGCCCAGCCGGGTAAGCTGCCGGGCAACGGCAGCGGTGCCGGCGCTCAAGAATTACGTCGAGGCCCACCGGCATGATTATTTTATATATTTCCCTGCTGCGGTGTCTTGGCAAACGGAATAGGCAACTGTTTTCCATTAGCGATGTTGAATGCCACGTGTTCCTGTCATGTCGGCTAACGCATGGGTCTCTTGATTTCAGGCCCTGATACCTCCGACGTATGTACGCTGGCACCACAATGACAAAGCACTGAACCTTTACAAGCTTCGAAGTGATATACAGGTGGGCATTGGCTGGTCATACACTGGTGGCATTTGTATTGTTTTTTGGACTAGAACAATTCTGACTTGTTTCGGATCCATGTCCATATTGCTGAAAACTGACGCCGGTATGTCCAAATCCCGTGTTCGTAAAGACGATAGAATGGTGTGATATCAACTCCCTAACATACCGATCGCATGGCACGATTACCCGCTGTTATAAATGCAGCTTTTTTGCTGCCGTTCGCTGTCACAACCGAGCAATTTATACGGGAGAGTAACGGCCGTCTGGCGGCGCCAAAGGGCGGACTATGCAGCCGATTACCTCACTGAGCGCAGTTGTTTTGCTCCACTCTGTTATGGCCGGCCCGCATGGGCATCGATCCGCATACCGCTTCATAAAAAACTCGCTGCTGGTAACAAGGCCCATCAGGGCGCATGCCGTGAGCCTTGAGGTTGGGCCTGGCGGGGGGGGGGGGGCGACGTTGGGACGGCACGGACCGCTCAATACCGATCGGCCCAAAGATTCTTTGTACGTCCCCACGTGCGTTTGCCGATCGGGCTAGCCTTCATCCACGGGTTAAGTGACCGCTCTTTGAGGCCGGATGGACAGGCATGTGATATTCGGGATGATAGATCACGAGCGTCACGATCCGTGAACCGTGTATTGATCGCGGAAAACCTGGCGACCGCTGACCCAGGCCACTCCGGCGCTCCGTCCCGGCGGCACGCGGCCCGGGCCGCCTTGTTCGCCCACCTGCAGTCGTTTCGACGAAGCCCGCCTGGGACCACTCCGCAGCTGGTTCACTGAGCTGCTGCGGCTTTCGGGCAGTAACTCACCCGCCCTCACGTGTGCCCAAACGTGGCTGCACATCGCAATGTGCCTGTTCGGGCGCGGCGATGTCGCGGACAACGACCGTCGCTAAGCCCTGGAGATACGTCTGACATTTACAAAGTGCCGCTGACAGCCATGAGCTGTCGCGCCGGTCGTCGGCGACATTCCCGGCGTCAGCGCCGTGACGGAAACACCAGGCGCTAAGTGCCGCCGCTCAGTGGTCTGCATCCACCCCCGCTGGGCCTGGAAAGAAGAGGAAAGTCCTCTCTCCTCCATGGAATATGTGGGAGACGCCACTGTACTGTGGGGTGTTCGCCGTCTCGGAATTTCAGCGCAGGACGGTTCGGGTCTCAACCTCCCCTCCCCCTCCCCTCCCCCCCCCCCCCCTGTAGGTCCGTAGGTGAGAGTCTGGGGATCTCCAAGAGCTGGTGCTGCGTGCCGACCCCGGAAGCCATGCGCTCTGGCGCACCGCCGGGCGCTACCCCCTCCCCTTCCCCCACCGAGCCTCCGCGTGAGCTGGGACGTCAGTCTTGCACGCGGGTTTCAGGTGAGCCTGGAGCGCGGACCCCAGGAGACAAAGAGCACTTTGAACATCACGGACGCGCGCGACACGGACAGCGGCAACTACACGTGCTCGGCCGACAACAGTCGACCGGCGAGCGTGCGCGCGTTCGTCTCAGAAGGTGGGTGATGCGGACGGGGTGGCGTGGCGGACGCTGCGCGGCAGTGGTGACGTACTCGCGGGCTGGGCATGGGCCTGCCGCGGACAGGTGGTGAGTTAGATAGAGCTTGTTCATCTTCTGTGGGGCTGCATAGGAATGCTTTTTTTGTGGCGGGGTGACGGCGTAGGTGGGCAATGCGAGTACAGGGTGTTGGTCAGGTAACTGCGCAACTCTACATGCGGCTTGCCGTTTCCTTGTCAATTCGTGTGAATTTGTTTGGATCATATAAACCAGTTCCGTCGTTTGCACAGTAATGCTCCTTCCGACGCTAATGAGTGTTACCTAGAAGTTTGATCCAGTTTGGGACACTCCATTTCATATGCTGAATGATAACCGGCAACATATCTATTGTATATCTCTTGAGTCGCGCAATCCAGCAACGATCGCCACATTACGTACTGCCTGCTTGTTATTAATACTTCCCTGTGATATCGGACAGATATGGCTAATACCGAATGCTTTATCTCAACACGCATCACACATCGCATCATGGTACATTTTAACTTGATGTGATTCAGCCACAGTTGACCCGCTCTGTTGTGACTCACCGAGACGATGTGTCGCTGGCTGGTCGGTAGACATGTGACACGGGTTCGTGTTCGGGTCTGATTGCAGTCAGGATCGGTGACAGTGACTCCTATTTGTGAGATGCATTATCAGTGTGTCAATTGCTTTAGCTGGCGGGCGGAGCGCCTTTGTGCCGGCCGATCCCAGCAGCAGCACATTGCCAATGAGTATTGAGGATTCTCGGGAAAAACTTGTTTGGGACGTTTGTTTGTCCTCCGATTGAAACCCCGCCGTGTTTACATACGTCAGATCGATGTTGTTAGTTGACCCACACTTAAGTAGAGCCTCACGGAAGTCTGAGTTTACTTAAGGTCTCAGGTTTCCCAGGAAGTTGTAACGAGTCGGGCCCAGTGTCTGACTGAATTAAGTCAGCGTGCCGCTTGGCTGTATTGATTTGAATCAACTTGCAGGTTGTATCCATTTAAATATGTCACGCTACTTTGAGTTCCACGTGAAAACCGTACGTGGCATGTGGCAATCAACTTGCAGGTTGTATCCATTTAATATGCCACGCTACTTTGAGTTCCACGTGAAAATCACACGTGGCATGTGGCAATGAACTTGGCAATCAACTTGCAGGTTGTATCCATTCAAATATGCCACGCTACTTTGAGTTCCACGTGAAAATCATACGTGGCTATACAGATTCCTACGTGGCCCCTGTCAGCCGAGCCATATATGCTCCCTGGTCGTGGCGAGTTAGGCGTGTCGTGGCTGTCTGGGATTAGATGCCCCATCGGTACCAGTGTAGTGAGTCATAGCTTTCCGTGGTCGTGTGGAGTCCCTCGTGTCCTCTCCGGTATTGAGTGACATGTGCCCATGACGCTTTGGAGTCACAGATGTCTTCGTGCCGCGCGTGTCCCCGGTTGTTTTACGTCAAACGTGCCCTTGGCTGCACCGGGTTACACATGCCCCACTTTATCGAGTCACACACGTCGCCCCGTATCGAGTCACACATGCCCCCACTGTATCGAGTCGCATACACATCCACCGTATCGAGTCGCACACACCCGCACTGTATCAAGTCACACTCCCCCACTGTATTGAGTCACACGCCTTCCCTGTATCGAGTCACTCTTGCTCCCGGCCGCATCCCACCATACGCGTGGACGGCGACACGGGTCGGCTCGATTCCAATCAACCGGGCAGATTCCGGGCGGCTTTGGCTTAATGCTGCCACCAGCCGCCACCGCCGGAATTGCAGCAGGCACAGTGAGCTCTCTCCGCTTGCAGGCGACAAGATGGCGGCCATCCAGCGGCGGAAAGGCGGCAGCGCCGCCTCCTGGTTGGGCGGCAGCGTCACGTTGCTGGTGTTGCTGGCGCTGCTGGTGCAGGCCGTCAGGTGAAACAGGCGCGGCCGCTGGCCCTGTCGCCACGCCGCCGCAGCTGCCGCCGCCGCCGAGCAGCGCTGCGAGGACGGCAGGACGCGAGACGAGGTGTGAGCGGCGCGGTGCCGCCCCGGGCGCCCCGCCGAGTGCGCCAGGTCAGGGTCGGCCGGTCGCGGACGCGCCAGTGACGTCAGAGTGGAGTGACGCGGCTGTGCAGGCGATGCGAGAGCTAGGGACGCGGCCGCGTCAGTGACGTGAGGGCCGGGACGGTGGTGGCGCGAGCGGGCGGGTGCGTGAAGCCAGGCGAGGAAAAAACAGTGCGAGCACAGGCGTGGACTGAGGTGGACTGATGTGGACTGAGGCGTGCCACCGCGATCGACGCGCACCGGGGAGCCGGCTCGCCTCAGCGCGACGACCCAGCACGTGCCGGCAGGTCGAGGGCGGCGCAGTGAGTGTGGGACGGCGCCAGTGTCCGGGCCGACTCCTCCTCGCTCGGAGAGGCAGACAGCCGTGCCGCCGCCACTCGGACCGCCCAGGACAGCGCGCCTGGCCGGGCGCGCGGCCACCTCCGACTCCGCCCGACCGTCACCCCGGTGTGCAGCCGGACTCCTGAGGTCGGGGCCGCCGGCGCTCGCGAGCGCCCAGCCCGCCCCGGCCGGCAGAGGAGCATCTTCCAGAGCGGTCCCCGGCCCGGCGAGACTGCTCGCCCGGCTGGCCGAGCTGCGAGCGACGGGCATTGATCAGTGCACGTGGCGCGTTTGAGAGCGAATGGCGCCGCCGGTCTTGACGAGGCTCCCCGGGCCGGTCGTCGCTCCGACAGGTCAGCGCCGTTTTTGGTGCTGGCATGGGCAGCCGCCTGCTCAACGGACGCTAGTGTTAGGATATCGGATGCCTGGCGGCCGGCTGTTTACAGCACATGACGTTTTCAAATGCGTTGTTCTTGAAAACCCTGTTGATGCCGGCGTTATGTGCATGTTATCAACAGTTTCACGTGGCTCTAGGCGGCTATGCTTACCGCTGCTTATGACCATGATGCTCCTGGATTTCGGCTGTTCATGCTCATAGACTTGATAATATCATCGTATAATACGCAACCTTGCGTGAATATCGTTCCCATGGCGCCGTGACTGTTTTGTTGGTTCAACATGTATTGTTCGGTGCTCCGCTGCCGGCTAAGAAGCTTGGAATCTGTTTTTTCTGTTATTGTTGTTGATGCATGTGTTGTGATTCTTGCATTATATTACTGTGCAGGGAGGCAAAACCGGAACATTATGTGTGTAGATTTGGTGACCATTTTGCCACGCCCCTCTGCTTTGCACAGCGTCAGGGCTTAGCAATGAGCTCACTTCATGGCACATCGCTGCTTGTAGACCACGGCCCACTGTCGAAAAGACACGGAGAGCACGAAGTCCCATTTCTCAGCTGCATTCTGAAGCCTGGGGCGCTGACCCGGCCGGTGGGCCGCTGGGGTCGTCTTCGGTCGCCGTCGCCGTCGGTGCGCGACTTCCGGCCGGTGTTGAGAGCGGCGCCCTGCGCGGTGGCCTGGGTCCTGCGCTAGACCGTGTCTGCTGGCCCTGGCGGCTCCCGGCTCGGATGAGGCTGGCCACTGTGCGGTATAACATGGCATAGTCGATCGGACGCGTGCGGGATATTTTTGGTGAGTCGGCGCATGGTGGGTTCGAGTCGACGGAAGGTGAAGGCGTTCGATTACATCATGTTTCAGTGTCGGACATCACTGTTGTTCACTGTCCATAAGAGATCTATCACGAGTTCAGTAACCATGTAAGACAATATATTATTCGGGTTGTGTACGAATGGTGTACTCGGGAGAATGTTTGCATGTTCGCATTTCGTTATCACACCGGCAAAGCGGACGTTTAGATGCACGGATAATATGAACATGGAACGCCCGCTCTGATATTTGAGTTTAGCGCACGCCTTGTGTTGTACACACTTTAGACAACTATGAACGACTGGCAATTGATAACAATGTTATGCGTCGAAACAAACTGTCTAAAGCCAGATTGTAAAGTAACGAACGGGGCAACCCCTCCCACTGCAATCCACGTTGGGAGAAGCCATCCATCATGGTAATTTCTTGAAATGTCACAGCATGTTCCTCACAGCAATTATCGGATATCAAAATGCCGCAGCGCTAGATGCAGACAGGCACACAGAATCCGATCACGATCCGATCCGATCCGACCCGACCCGAATCGAACCGAACCGAACCGAACCGAACCGAACCGATTCGATCTGATCGGATCCAATCCGATCCGATCCGATCCGATCCGATCCGATCCGATGCGATCTCTTGAGTGATAAGAACCATAAAGTAGTGACCTTCCTTAGGTCAATATACAACTGCATGGCATTATGGTCTGTTCAAAACGTTCCAATTAAAAGGTGCATTTTGAATTTGATTCAGAATGACCCCAGCACCACATTAATACACATTTGGATGATATGTGAAAGGCATTTAAGGGCGGATTTAAGTCGCACGTTTTGATCACATCCAGTCATAGTATGGTAGACTCCTATCTAAAAGCATTTTCCAAATAAATTTGCTTCTTATTGTTAGATAACCTAACACAAGACCTCGCTCCAACTAAACAATTTATGTCTGCTATGGTGGGATGTGGTTTACTTGCTTTCCCAAAAATTTGTCAACTTCAACACTCTGCTCAACATGCGTAACATTATCACATCAACACATAAAACACTATCACAAAACGCTTGCCTGTGTTAAAACGCGATGCGTTTTACACTTGGCTGTATTAAAACGTGAGGCGTTTTAACACAAGCGAGAAAGGCATTGAGCTCCCGGCTTTTTGGCGTTGTGAGTTCAGAGAATCTTTTCCTCACAACCATCACCTTCAATATATTGGGAGGCATTAGCTCTACGACGTTATCAAGCAGACATTGGTTATGTCGGCCGCACTCAATGTTCGCTTTCTTAAAAATATGTGGTGTGATAGTTTCATTGATCATATTTTTCAGAATATTGGCAATAAAGCCAATGTTTGCTTGAATACCTCACCTTAATTTCATGTTCAATAACTGTCAGTACAATATCTCAAAACTCATAAGGTCTTTTATAACAGTCCTACTCAGGTATGCCGTGTGTTTGATAAACCGTAAATCACCGATCAATTCCATCTGAAATACTTGGCTGTATTGCGATAAACTATTTCTCGATTACTTGAGCAACGCACGTAGCTTCAAAGACGTGGCTCTGAGTGACGGCGTGAGCCGGTTGAATCATACTTAAACAATGTGAAAGTATCGCAGTGGAGCGGTAGCCAGAACCAACTACCACGCTCCTGAATTTGTAACCGCTGATGGTCAATCCTTACAGTTTCCAGCAACATATGAAAAGGTTGTACGCTATAAACTGTGCATTCGATTTACATCAATTAGTTTTTCAAGACGGAAGGTGCAAGAACATGGGTCAAAATCTGCCCTTGTCGTCGACAAACCAAACAGTGATCCTATCGCATCGACACGACACCTACCGATGTTCACGGAGGAGAAAGATAATAATTACATTGGCGAAACGGTTGGTCGATGTATGCGAATAGTCACACACCTTCCCGTGCGTAAACTATGAATCGGTCCGTCTTGGATGGTTCGAAGGTTTTGATGCCGGATCTCAGCAACCAAAGCATATAAAAAAGTAATAGAATGCGCGCGCGGGCGGATGTACAAACGATGTACCACTGCGGGCAGATCTCTCAGCTGCTCAGCACTAACGGTAGATTTCGAACCTGTCCTACACCAACGGTAGATTTCGAACCTGTCCTACACTACCTGCAGATTTCGTAGCTGTTCGACAGTACCGGCAGATTTCGAACCATCCTATCCTAACCTAACCTACGTTAACGGCAGATCTCTCAGCTGCTCACCTCTTACGGCAGATCTCGAACTTGCCCTACACCAACGGCAGACCTCGAACCTGTCCTACGCTAACGGCAGATCTCGAACTTGTCCTACACCAACGGCAGATCTCGAACTTGACCTACCCTTATGGCAGATCTCGAACCTGTCCTACACTAATTGCAGATTTCGAAGCTGTTCGACAGTAACGGCAGATCTCACAGCTTTCCGATACTAAGGTTCGTCAGTGTGTATATGTATGGCTATATAAACGTTTTGGTTATATATATATATATATATATATATATATATATATACAAATGTAATGAAAACTGCGTTGATGAAATGGGTCTTCGGAGATATTCCAATTCTCCGATTCTTGATGGCACTTCTAGGCATGTACTCCGTTGTCATTTTATGTCATATAGTACCGCGTTACACTGCTGGCGACAATTTGGCCTGCAGAAATGCGGTCGGCGACAAAGAATACACTTCTTAATGGACAGCCAACTTCGAAAGCAACGTTATTCGTGAAGTAGTTTGCGAGTACTTCTTCTATGGACCGTCGTCGCCTGACAGCTTTTCCTGTAGTGTGACCTTTCCCCGCAGCGACTAAATCCAGTGTTACGCGTTTCCAAATATGTTTGGCTCTTTTAGCCTTATTTTTACCATCACCTACACTTGACGACTCCCGCGATTGCTGTCGCGACGCTGGCACCCGCCACTCTGGGCGTCTGGTAGGTGTCTGTTTTTTTCAACTCGGTCGGGAGTGGACAACGTAATCCCCAAGTGTCCAGGACATCCGGCTCACGCGGGAGGGCCCGGGTTTGAGTTCCGGTTGCGCCACGGCACCTAGCCGCTAGCATAGACCATCGTCACGGCCCCTAGCCGATAGTATAGACCATCGTCATGGCCCCTAGCCGCTAGTACAGACCACCGTCATAGCCCCTAGCCGCTAGCATAGGCCATCGTCACGGCCCCTAACCGATAGTATAGACCACTGTCACGGACCCTGGCCGCTAGTATAGACCATCGTCACGGCCCCTAGCCACTAGTACAGACCATCGTCATGGCCCCTAGCCGCTAGACCGTTTACAACCATAGTGCTTACTGGCTTCCATGAACGATTCTGCGACAATGTGCTGTGCGCTGTTTTTTTTTTTAATAAGATAGTCAGAGCACAATGGCGATGGATGTTGACTGCAGCCAAATGCACTGTTTGACGATACAAAAAGGTCTGAGTATAAAAAGAATTCCTGCTGCCGGATCATGCAGGTGGATGCAGCACTTATAACCAGTCCAACCTTCCATGACATGCATACGACACACATACACCATGAATGAATGTCATTCTCTCAACTCAATTGATAACTGTGTGCCAATGCCATGACTAAGGTTGACGCGGGTGAAATTCGCATCTTACTTATGAGTGCAAGGCTCAGGCACGATTGGGTATTCTTTAACAGCAACTGCATGTCAACTCAACCAGATTTTGCCGGAGGCATGTACCGGTACATTACCGTGATGCCAGACAGTTCTTCAAAACGCCATAGCCTGCTCGCTGAGCTCCCTTTGT